AGTGAACTTCAGCGAGGACGGGGTAAATCAGGATCGACAGCAGAAGACACGTGATAAAATACTGCCCCGCGTGCGAGTATCAACGGCGAACTAATGGCGAACTAATGGAAATCACATTCCAGGAACCGGGAATCCGGAACTACCGTTGAAAACGGTGGAAAATCGAGTCTGTTTGAGTTGAAGGCCAAAGGGCGGGGGCCACGCGCTACGGGCAACTCGAAAACTTCAGGCCTCAGCTGCAGACAATAGCCGAAACACACAGCTGAACAGCGGATCTCTCCGGATATCAGAGTCCAACTTGGAAAACTGTCCAGAACACCGGACAATGGACGGTCGTAATCACATCAGCGGCAAAGTTCGGACCTTACTGTCCCGTCGGAGAAGCGCTTAACCCCGTCAAAGTCCTAACACCAAAAGAAAAACGCTGCTAAAATCACTCAAGACTTTTGAAGATCCCAACCTCATCGGCTTCTGCAATTAAATTCACGGCGCAGCCGAGCCGCGCCAGGTAACTTCCACCGAGGCGAGCAGCGGCGCCCAGGCCTGGCGCCTTGCACACGGCACGCCCAGCGTATTGATTGGAAAACAGGCGGGGGTCCGGGTCGTCGGCAGCGGTCTCCCCGGCGACAGACTGCGGACGGACGTGCCGGACACCCGTACAGACGGTGCAGGCAGACGGCAGAAGGCAGACGAATAACGACAGACAGCACCGGGGGACGATAAAAGGCTGACGGCAGACGACTGACGGCAGAAGGCAGACAACAGTGCAGGGAGACGGCAGGAAGGAGACGATAGGCAGCACCAGAAGACGGCCAGCAGACGGCAACGACTGCGGCAGCGGTCGCGGCCGGTCTCTTACTGACCGGACCGAGCAGTGAATAGTTATCTTTGCGCTACGTGCATCTTCACTCCCGGCATGAAGTGTTGTCACCAGACACCACTGCCCAGCCGCCGCCCCTGGGCGCAGGCAGTCATCGCACCACCACCACCGCGCTGGTGGGCGGCTGAGCCAAGCCGGCCTGCAGTGCGCTCCGCCGGGCGAGCACCGGCGAGGAAGCCGTCAACCGAGCCGGCCGGGCGGTCGGCGCGGGCGGAGCCGCCCCCGCGCGCTCGGCGGCCGGCCTCCACCGGTCGATCCGAGCTCCGGGGAAGCGGCGCATTGACGGCTGGCGGCCCGCCGTCGGCGACGACGGGACGCGGAAGGAGCGACGGCGGGGAACGGGCGGCGGCAGCCAGACAACCGATGGCCACAGACAGGAAATTAAACTCCGACGGGAGACAAAAGTTATTTTAAGGAGATGGTTTCCAGGGTGGTTGAGAGTCACATAGATAGCATGGTATATCCAAGTGAATATGCTAGCGCAATGTTTTGGAAATCGTCAAACTCATAATAAATTAACAACAACAGCAGCATGGAACATGAATAATTGTTGCCTCGGGCAGCAAATGTGATCTAATGTAATCTAATTAGGCGGAAGAAGTTATGATGGGTTTCCAGCAGCTCAGAAAGTGGGTCAGCCCGGTCAGCCAGGGGAAGGGGAGGGGAGGGTCAGGGAACGGCTGGATACAACTACACATAATTTAAACATTCATATTGATTTTCGAACTTCGGGGAGAAGCAAGTAAGTTTATTAGATAACAATAAGATACCAGTATAACGCCTTTCGGGGCGACTAACGGAGCGAGCGAGAGGGTGGGCCTTGCACGTGCGAAATTGCGAGGGGGTACCTCCAACTGACTTGTGCACGGCACCCTACTAACCGGTCTCTAGCGATGTGTCAAATTTGGGTACAATCGGCCCAGCCGTTCTCGAGATCTGGAAGCGGCACCCTGCACGTGCGCACGTGCAAAATGGGTCCCAACTGACTTGTGCACGGCACCCTACTAACCGGTCCCTAACTGTGTACCAAATTTGAGCGCCATCGGTCCAGCCGTTATCGAGATCTGGAAACGACCCCTGCACGTGCGCACGTGCAGCAGCACCCCAACTCTGGCACATGGATATGCAGTGCCTAGTGGGTGCCTACCTACATGCCAACTTTCAGCGCAATCGGCCAAGTAGTTACCGAGATATTGCAACAATTACAAAACTGACAACAATTACAAAACTGACACCTCATCGTTTTGCACGTGGCACGTGCATAAGGGGTCACCCACATGCATCGGGAATAGTCCAATACTTGGTAGAAGGAATGAAGCTACCCTACAAAAATTACCGCATGTAAATCGGTCAAGTGGTTGCTGAGATATAAGCCTCGCAAAAGCGTCCGCACGGCCGGCCGGCCGGCCGGCCGGCCGCTCATACTCAGAAATTTCCGTTAATCTAAGGAAAGACTCCGCTCGCTTCGCTCGCTCCGTAATCACAGAGAAAAAAAAGAATTGTTGCACACCTGACCACCGTGTACCGAGCGAAGGAAAAGAAGCCGAGTCATGCATGTCAATTAATGATTACACGCACAGTGCAAACACAGCTAGACTGTATATCTACATTGCGACTTCCGGTTGCATGTAGCATGCCACAGCCGCATCGAGATATATATCAGACTTTGGACTGGCGTGCCCAGTACCCGCTTACATTCGGAAAATTTTAATGCTTTGATGACCCCTTTCAAAATTCAACGGTAAATCAGATAAAGCACTTTTGTTTTCACGAGTAAAGTCATAACTCCTACTCAACCAAACAGCCTCAGCAGCATGCGATATCCCCATCTATTAAAAACCGCTTCCTGTTCCGGAATCTCGACAATTAACACGGCGAGCCCTTGGCCTTTTCATGTTCCATTTCCCAGAGTGTCCTGCACTCGAAGCACGCTCATCTCCGGTCTGCTGATTCAGTCTAAAAGGTCGCGATTGATCTCAGCTGTCTGCGTGGGATCAGAAGTGGCCCTCTCCGCCGGCACAGCCTCCCACGGCGGCACGGCGGGCGGGGCGCTGCCGCGACTTAATCCGCCCCATCATGAGCCGGCACGTGTTTTCTGTCGCCAGACGGCCACCAGTAATGCCTCGCGATGATGAATAATTCCTCCGGCGCCGCCTCACCGATGCATGTCTGCGGCCGCCACCGCAGCTCGATACTCGTGGATCAATTACGGCGGCCCGCGCGCCTCCGCAAGGTCTCAGCCGCGTGCATAATACAGCTCGCGGAAAAGTCGAGAATCGTCTGGCCGCGGCCGTTACCGCTGACCGGTAGCCCTCTGCCCAGCGCAGGGGTTCGACTGAGCGCACTGAAGCCGGCCGTGAGATTCGTGGTCGGCCTGGCCTCCAACAGGTGCCTCGTGGGCTATCCATCACGGTGAGGCGGGGCACGGCGCCGGAGCGGGCGCGGCACAACGGCAGAGCAGGCGCGGCCGGCCACTTCCAGCGGGCACAGGTCGGCACGGATCGCTCCCGACGTGACACCGTCGGCGGGCGGAGTCGGCTGAGCTGGACAGGACTGACTTCGATCGGACGGGCGGTCCGAGCGTCAACCAGCACTCAACAGCTGTGGTTGCGAAACTGCCAGACTCGTCGGGAGAGCCAGACACCAGCAGATGATAGGCATATGTAGACAAAATAACGATATCTGCTGGTATATCTGCTAACAACATCAGTTGGCACAGTTAAAAGCTGGCTTGCATTACGAACGTTCTCAGTGAACTCGATTTTAGAAGTACGGCGACCACACACGCTTATATTATTAAAGAATTTCACCAATACAAATGCAGATCCAAATCACAGACAAGAGATCAATGGATCGACGGACTACGGTGGTAGTTGGTACATTGGTTGCAGAGCTAACTGGCAGCTACACATGTTGGATAACTCTACCGGCAAACAGGGCTCGTCCCGACAAGGAACACCGGTCGCACCCGGTGGAAGTGACCGACAGTGGCCAGCCGACCGGTACAGCGATCCCTACCGAGCGCGGACCCACAGCTGCCCCCCCCCCCCCCCCCCTCCCCACTGCTGCCGTCTGCTGATCGATACCTTCGGAACGGCCCGGGATTCATAGCATTGTGGCCCAGATGCTTCATAAAGATTCATAAAGAGTGAGCGTCAGCTTGAGTGTCAGCGGCGGACCGCCGTGGTATCCGCGGCATTTTAAGCTAGCGTATGAGAATGCGGACGGGTGCTTTGATGTGCGAGCCAAGTGCCGCTGCCCTGCCAGTCACCGGTCTAACTGATGATGTAGAGAACTCACCATGCGAAATAAAAGTTATGCCATGGCGTTACGTGTTACTTAAAAATGAGCTGAGGTGCAACATTTTGTAAGTTTAAATCTGTGACAATTTGTCAGGGCAATAGAAATCGAAAATTACACAGAGACACTAATAAGATCATTCCACTTACAACAGGGGAGGGAGGCGACACACACCACAACTCATTATAAACACAGGAGATTTGGATTTTATTGAACTTTTTGATATAAAGTTCCACCACATAATAAACTCAAGCCATCGAACAAGTAACAAGCTCATGAAGTTTGATCATTGAGACACAGTTGGGGCTGTAGATGTGGAGTGCCATTCCCAGAAAATCTAGAATGGGCTAATGGATTCTTTGAAAGTCATGCATAAGTTCACTGCAGTATGATATAACTCTAAAATTATCTTGACAACTTCTGATAAATTAACTAAGCAATAAGTTAAATAACAAATTTCATACACACACTCAATACTGGATGATTTCATTATAATCTCCAATCCAATGTCTAAGGAGCAGACTCTCATGATAGAAGTGCAAATAACACAAAACATCCTAATGACATGAGTAAATTTACCACATTATTACCAACATAGGTTCATTCTTAGGAATGCTCACCATAATAAGTGACAAATTTGTCCATTTTTACTGATACAAACCTAAAAAGTGCACACTTCACATTTACATATCAATATATGCAGTGTAAACGTACAGGCTCCCACTGACCAGTGACTACCCCACCCCAACACCACACCAGCTGCTCCAAAGTCCAAACACACTACAGTTGACACCGCAGTAGCCAGCGGATACTTCCTCACCTGGTCTGTGGTCTCCAGACAAGGACGGCTGATCATAGCGTGCGGAGTCGACGGCAGCAGTCAGCCGGACACACCTGGAACATGCAGTGGGGTCAGCTGGTGACCAGGAAAAAAAATAGCCATTCTGAGATGAGTTGTTGGAAAGGGACAAGGGGTGGCTCACATATTTTAGCCAACACATCGGTTATTCGGTATGGACTGTGCTGTGAACGGTGAACATCAGGTTTATATGTTAAATTGGACAAACAAATAAAAGCATAATTTACAGTAACACATGTTGCAATTTCAAGCTAAAAGCATCCCTACACGCCACATATTGACAAAAAAAAATGCATGTTGATGGAACAAAAGCAGAAAACAGTGAAGTGGCGCTGCTGAAACTTCGGTGGTATGTTATGACAAAAAGCAAGTATTAACCAAAAAATGTGACAAAACAATAAATAAGAGACAACCCACCTTAAACCACCTGGATCATCTACAACCCGAATGACGAAATCGCACAAAAATTTAATAAATTCAATCAATAGCCATATCCCACTGACCCACTCCACTGCAAGAAAATACTAGTTTAGGCAAATATGACGCACATAGGCAGTCACGAAGTGATTTGGTAGCTTATCCTACCAAATGATGAAGGAATTTTTATCTGAAGGATAGGGCCCATTGCAACCATAGAAATGCTTTTATATCGGATTGCAAGTGCAACAATAAAATTTCGATAAAAGCTAAGGTAAGGCCGGCACCGCACGGTGCAAAAGCCATTCTAAAACTCGACGTCGCAAGCATCATCACTCAGACTCTCTGATGACCCGCGAGCGGTCACGGCCGCTCGCGACCTCAACGCGTCTGGTCATAACAGTCTGGTGATGGCTGCCGCAACTATGTATGGTGCCTACCTACCTAAATCAAATACTTCAACGTTAAAGTGCCTGAGCTATAATGCCGGGCTATTTCAATCAGTTGACATCTTAAATAATTGTCCAAGCTGGAGCTAGGACCTTCTAGTCTCGCGTCTAATTAGTTCTAACTTCTAGCTTAGTCTTTGGCAATGTTTCTCGTACAGGTGCGTAGGGTAACTGTGGGGAAAACGCACCCCTGGGTTAAACGCCTCCCCTAAAAAAATCGTAGATCTTATCGACGGATAGGTGTTTTATCCTGTCTTTCAGAACAGTCAGCTGCTTGTTTACGTAGTTCTCTATTTCCGGTTCTGCGTCTTGAGGAGCAGCGTCGGTAGGTGCTGATGTTGGTTTTGGGTGTTGTTTTTGTTGTTTTTACAGAAGATTCCTAAGCTTTTGATGCCCTCTTTATATCACAAAACTTGCTATTGTGCACATCACTCAAAACTGCGTTTTATTGTCATTCTGTTGAATTTATTATGCTGCGGCGTTAGTGGCGCGTTTTTTGTCAATATTTTGTTGACCGGAAATGGAGTGGATGGGGAAAGACGCCTACTCGATGCATGGGGCAAGACGCCCCCAGTTTTCTGAAAGGGGGGCGTTTTGCACGGTGGTGAGAGTGCAGGGTAGCGCCCTGTAGGTCGGGGCCGAAAAGGCCTCTCCCTGTCCTTTTTTGCTGATATATCCTAAACGACTGCAGATATCGTCACCAAACTTTCAGGACTCCTCCGGGCATCCATTTTACACATTGCAACAACATTTTATTCCAAAGGCTATGATAGGTTGACCACAAATGACGTCAGAATGACGTCAAGTTCTGCCATGTTCATCATTTTCTGTTGATGGATGGGGTGGGGGCGCTTTGCACATGGGTGTGGGCGTATTACCCAGGGTGTGGGGCAAAACGCCCTTTTGTAAGGGTATGCGGAAACCTTTTTGGGGGGTTAAATACCACACGCAAGTGTCTTTTCTTGGTCTCAAAGCGTAGTAAAAAGAATGAGCTACATGATGGTGCCCAAAGGTTTGAGCAATCTGGGTTGGGTTGAGTGTCAGAAGGTTTCGCGCTTAATGGGGGCGTTTTTGACCTATTCACCCTATACCGATTTACCTAGGATTTGGCCAGGGGGGGACAGAGGAATCCCAGGCCCGGGGCCTGCATTCTGATTCTACAGAGGGTCTCCCTCTAACGGGGCCTCCTCTCTACAGAGGAGGGCTTCCCTTCTACAGAGGGCCTTCTCTCACCTAAGGGGCCTCCTTTCCGAGAAGGCCTCCTACCTACGGAGGACCTCCTCTCTTATACTGAGGAATCAGAGGGGCCTAGCGGTCAGACAGAGACACTAGCGGTTATTCACAGGAGGCCCCAGGTAGTAAGAAGGACCCTAGCTTTTAGTCTGGTCAAGGGCTCTGATTGTCCTGACGTGATTTTTGGGATTCCCGTGAAGTTCGTTCGCCCCCGTGATTTTGGCCAACGTGGACCTTCGGCCCGCGGGAGCCCTGATTCCATCCGGGGCCCTGAAAACCCCAAGGGGGCGCCCCGTCCACCCCCTCCCTCTTGGGTACGTCCCTGATCTCGTAGATATTGTCATTGTTATGCTATCGGGACAGGGGCGGAGCTTCCTATTCAGTTGGTGGGGGCGGCTGCCCCAGCCCCCACCAACTTGGTAGGTATTTTGCCCCACCAATAAGCGTTTTGCCCCACCAACTTTAGCTGATTTCTAAGACTTTGTTGCTTTGCAAATTACCTAATCTGTTTCGCATCGAAGAGCTTGGGAATGTCTGTTTAATGCAAAATATTATATATGTAATGAGGAATTGATTCAGTGTGGCATTTTATTTAACTTCATAATCGGACATGGTGGGTTTGACGACTTTTTTCCCCACCAGCTTCCCTGGAAAAGCTCCACCCATGTATCGGGAAGTATAGTTAGGTACCCGGCACCCATGGCCTTTTATCACATACACAAATCACGCTTTAGATGCAGCTTAGCCGCTGAGCTTTTTTGGCGCACATTCTCTGATCAACCTCTCAAGGCGGACAGGCGGTCACATTTCAGCACCGAGTTGATGGAGGCTCTGGCGGCACTTTTTAGAGGCGTCTCGTCCCAGTTGGTTGGAGCCGGGCCGGCGCGGCGGCCGCCGCCGCTGGCAGCTGCCCCGTTTGGCCGGCTCCAGACGGCCGCCGCTGCCGGCCCGTGTGCCTTTGGCTCCACTTGGCAGGTGCCCGAGGTCGCGCCACCGCCGCCGCAGCCAACGCTAAAAATATGCGCGTGCGCTTGCGCGTTGCACCCCGCGATGATGCCCAGGTGTCGGCGACGGCGGCGGGACGGCTCGGCACCGGGCACGGCCCCGGCCGCCGGTAAGAGCCAGCGACAGCACTGGGAGCCGGTGACGTCATCGGTCAATGGCGGCGGCGTCTGTAATTTCCGCCACAGAAGACCCGGTGACGCAGGTGGTGGTTGTGCAGAAATGAAGTTCGACCAGTATAGCCAGAGCTGTGGGGTTTTACAATAAAAAGGGCCCGTTGAGTCGAAGAGCATGGTTGCCTTTTTGTGTGCGCCATCTAAGATGATTAAACGATCGGGTAGGTATCGTGAATGTCGACTGAATGCTTTAAACCGTCCCTATTTTACAGTCCGTGGCCCGTGCAGTCCGGAGTGACCTCACCCCCTCCTTTAAAAACGGCCGCATTAATCGGTTGAGGTAAACGTTTTGGACCAGCATCTATGCCTACTTTCATCGTGCCTTGAGGTCGTCAAAGTTATCGCAAAACTTATTGCCACCACAGCCGGAATCATTAGGTAGATAAAGATGATATCAAAGGTCGTCAATCGGCGTACCTAAACGGCGAATGCACGCATTTTGGTAGGTATGACACGGCGCAGAATCCCCCAAAAAGGAGTCGTTGAGCGATATTTGTTTTCCCTTGAAAGTAGCTCCAAAACTACTAAAGCTGTGGTTTTCTTCCCATCTGCTACATCCATAAGTCTAATACGGCAAACGTCCAAGTGATTGAACAGCCGACTCTGTCCAACGAATTGAATACAGCCGATTTATTCCAGCAATATCGTCGGCCCGATCTTTCAGTCGATGTCCGACTCGCCATAGTTTGACAATGCCGGCGCGGGGTGTTTGGGGTACTCGCTATCGCCCTCCCCATGAGGGCTGCAGACTTTCCGAGAACCCCTGAATCGATGGCCTTGAAGGACGGTGGCAGGACGGGAGCCGGATTATTTAATCAGACCGACCACGCACCGCAGCCCCACGCGACCGGGGGCCACATTTTACTGGTCGCGGTCGAATTGACGGCCGGTCGAACGGCCAACAATCTGCACTGTTGCAGTCTACAGGAGCGATATAAAACTGATCCAAACAGGCGGCATTGCGACGGTATAGGTATCGGGTGGGAAAGGGAAGGACATCGGTTTGGAGAAGGATTAGCATTCGCATTGCGTAAAATAACGCAATTTATTTACCTAAAAAGTGAAAGTTGTGGACCCGTATAAAAGATCAGCATCAGAGAGTTTAGTGCTATTCCTAAATAATGTCTTTGATAGTCAGAAGCGTTCTAGGGACAGTGTGATGTGAGACGTCCTACATCGTGCAACACTCGACATCCAGTTTTCGGCACGCTTCTATCCGAGGAAAGCCTGTAAAATTATCAGTAACGATGATTATATTCTCTAATCCTATTTACAGGGTAAATTAGGTTCTCAGACTCTAAATGAGCAACTTATTAATTGAACAATTGATTGAAAGCTTATTTACGCTAAATTGTCATAAGTCGATCGTCATGTCATCAGCTTGACTATGACTCATAGGTATAATCGTGTGTCATTTTTCTAATTATTTTACTATTATCGACGAAATCATGCTGTAAGCTGTTTTTGAAGTAACTGTTTTTTTACCGGTCGAATAAGTTTGATACGAAAGAATAAAAAATAGGTATACAATCAAAACATAAAAGTAAACGCCAGAAATAAGCTAAATCAAGCATTCCACATCACAAATGGCGGAGAAGAATGTCGGTCTATAAAATTAAGCAACAACGACATTAATTTTTTTTAGTGCACGATTACATTTGCCCCAGACATCGTAAGCAAGGTAAATATGCATTGAAACAATCAGCGGCCGTTGCTAAAATATCAAGTCCAATATTTATGCCGAATAGGTGTGTAGGAACCAGTCAAATCGTTCCAATAAAATGCATTAGCAAAAATGCAACGAATTGATCCTAATTTCATCACAACTTTCACCAAGTCATAATCTAAAACAGCCAAATCAAAGGATTGTTGTTTGTGACCCAGTTTTTTCTAATAGATGCGATAGATAGATAATAGATGCCATTAAAGTACTAGATGCGGTCTAAGAAAAACATTATTGCGGTGTAAATATAATCGATAATAGTTCTAAAAATGAAGACAATACGAACATCCACATTAGTTGAGCTGGCTCGTTCGCAAACAAAGAGCATCGGAGGTGGCCCAGCCGCCGAACCAAGCGCTAGCCAGGACTGCTCAGTGCTCACGTCTCGAAAGAGCGGGCGAACTTCCAGTCAGAGACGGCTGACGGTTCGGGAGTAGAGCGAGTGCTACACTCACCCAGATCTGATATTGATTCACCTTCTATTGATTATCCCAGTCGGGATGTTACTGGAGCTCTCTACAATCCGATAGTAGTGTCCTATATACAGTTAAACTGCCTTTCTGATTTCCCGATTATATTTAAAAAAACAACGATGTTTCTTTTCTTCGAAATGCCACATTCACCAATGGCGACAAAGGGTCTATTGTCACAGGCCGTCGTCTATGGCTGGTTCGCCTCCTGCCTACAATGAGTCAGTGACAGCCCGGGGACAGCCAGCGGTCTCTGGCGGTGCGCGGTCCTCACCTGGGCGGCGGTCCGGTCCGGCGCGGTCCGGGCGGTCTCTGCCGGTCTCTGCCGGTCTCTGCTGGTCTCTGTCGGTCAGCTCGGGTCGTGTGGCCGCTGTCGCAGCCGCCCCGGTCAGCCGTCGGACCACCTGCAGTCACTGGGAGCCAGCCCGCTCAGCTGGAGCCCCGCGCCGCGCCGCGCCGAGCCGAGCCGACCGATCGATGGGCCGCACGCGCCGCCGCCGACGGCGCGCCGCTCGTCGGCGGAGCGCCGCGTCGCTGCCGACGCCGCGTCGAAGGTCGGCGGCGCGGCCTGCTAGTCGGGTCAGTGGGGCAGCCGGCTGACAAGGACGGACGCGGGATCAGGACGGTACAGGGGTACAGCCCACCGCTAAAGTAATGTAGGGTTTTACCAATCTCAACAGTTGGCTTTGACTGGCGATTGTTTAATGCGGAGTGATCGAAAAGAAGATGTCAATAGCTAAAGTTGCAGCTGCAAGGGTGACGATACATATAAGCTACATTCAAAGTTTCATTGTAGTCTGGCTAATCGTTCCTAAGCTTCAGAAGCAGAACATACCCATGACTGAAACCACACATTACTTCTGCTGTGGGCTGTACCTTACAACTACACCCACAGGAAGCTGGATAAGGTGCCACATGGGTCCGGTGACTATCGGCAGGTGGATTAGAAGGTGGTGATGGTGTTAGAGGGATGGGGACGAACAGGACAAGTTGAGGCGTTGGTGTTTTACCACGGTGGTTATCATGTTGTTCATATGGTGGATATGGTATGGAATAGGCCTATGCATTCATTTTTGACTTATCTAGTTGGTAGGTAATCGGTCGCTAGCAAGCGAAGACCAAACAAGGTGAAAAAGGTTTAGGTATCATTACATGTATACGAGTAGGCGCGACAAATGAGCTTAAAGAATGACTTAAAAAAACTTATTATCAAAAGAAACGTGTTTAATCTCATAGCCCTCGACTTACCAGGGTTGATGCAACCAATGCAACTGTGCAGCCCCCCCCCCCCCCCGCCTCCCAATCAGTTTCGTTTTTGCGGACGGAAAACAGCAGAGAACAAACGACGGCTTATTTGATGCGTAAGCTCTCTATCAGGCATCAGCTGTACGAGTATATGCAGTGAGGAAATCTCCATCCCTCCCTCCCTTCATCTCTCTCTCTCTCTCTCTCTCTCTCTCTCTCTCTCTCTCTCTCTCTCTCTCTCTCTCTCTCTCTCTCTCTCTCTCTCCACCTCTAAAATCCACGCTGCTCCTCATCTTCAGAGGTGTCACGTCCATCGGGTAGGTACTGGTGCAGTGGGTGTCGCTATAGTATAGGTGCCTGGCCGATGCGATATGTTGCCGTGCAGTGTGCACCGTGCAGCAATATGCTCTGTGCACGACTATACCTTACGAGAGCACAGTTGAATCGAACACTTAGGTAACTGAGAAGCTGCAGGTGTGACCGTATACCTACGTAGGAAAGAAAAAGGTATCCAAATTCGTTTTGAAGGACATTGAACAAATAAAAAATAGCAATGTGAAGTGTGACCTTAATCTAGTAGCTTATTCCAGAACTTAATCTAATAACTTAATCTAAGTATCCCAAGTAACTACAGCTTTGAGAATTGACCCTAGGTCAAAGGTCCCGCCTCACGCGGAAATCGAAGTACCTATCTACCTAATGGTTTTGAAGAAGATAATAAAACCAGTAAAACGCCTTTTGGGCGAAGAACGAGCGAGCGAGATAGTGAGCCCTGCACGTGCGGAAGGGCGAGAAGGTAGGTATACCTACCTTAGTAGCCTTAGTAGGTAGTTGGAAGTATACTTCCAACGGGCTTGTGCAAAGCACCCTTCTAGCCGGTCGCTAGCGGTGTGCCCGGGCCAAATTTGAACGCAATCGGCCCAGCCGTTCCTCCTGAGATCTGGAAGCGGCATTCTGCACGAGCGCACGTGCAAACGGGGTCCAAACTGACTTTTGCACGGCACCTTACTAACTAGTTCTCAACCGTGTACCAAATTTGAGCGCAATCGGTCCAGCCGTTCTCGAGATCTGGGAGCGCCCCCTGCACGTGCGCACGTGGAGTAGCACCCTAACCGCAACACATGGGAATGCATTGCCTGGTGGGTGCCTACCTGTATGCCAAGTTTCAGCGAAATCGCCCCAGTGAATACCGAGTTATTGAAATGGGAACAAATTTGGCACCTCTTCTTTTGTATTTTGCACGTGCAGTGGGGGTCACTCACATAGATCAAGCGTATCCGACCTTTGGTAGAAGGGATGCAGCTGCCCTACAAAAATTACCGCAAGACATTCACCCAAGCGGCTGCTGAGATATGAGCCTCTCAAAATCGCTACTTTTGCAAAACACCTTGAACACCCTTGTTTTTCACGTGGCACGTGCCACGACGGTCACTGAGATGTATCAAAAGTAGTCAATTACGGGGTAGAAGGGATGGGGCTACCCAGCAGAAAAGACCGCAGGCCAATCGGTCCAGCGGTTGCTGAGATATAAGCCTCTCAAAAGCGTTACAGGCCGGGCCGGGCCGGGCCGCCCATACTGAGATTTTTCCGTTATATTGAAAAGACTTCGTTTCGCTCGCTGCGCTCGCTCGCTCGTAATTAGGGTGCGTCATTAGATCGTCGATTTAGGTGATGTATTGTATTTTGTTTTGAACTTCGCGTGTTCACCTTCCAGGCGTCCTAACTGTTCCAATTTTAGCTGCTTTAGCTGTGCGGTCATTCGACGAGCGGTAATTCTGAATTCAAAACTACATAGAGCACGAAGAAAGCTGAAAAGGAAAGAGTTAAGAACTGTGCTTTGTGGTTCCCGATTAAGAAATACGTCACACAGCAACATATGCCACATCTCTCATGTTGTTGCTCCATGAATGTATCTCATCCTGTAATTTATGTGTTTATATCCGCAGTAAATCACCATTCGTGATGCCGTTGGTGTTGGGCCATCGTCTGACAATTTAAACGGTGAGCTCACCGACACGACATGAAAACGTCCCGAACAAGTTTATTGACATTTGGAGGCGAGTGACTTTACCAATGGAGAGAAACAACAGAATAACAGAGACCGGACAAAGCAAAAATGGAGTGTCAATGACAACCGCAAAAGTGAAGAGAGGTTCATGAAAATGGGAAAGGCTCAGGGTTTTCCACGACTGTAATTCAATGGCTCAATCGTACCTATAAGTCGGCCAGGATCGATCTATATCTGAGAGATCGGATTTGGGATTCTATTTTTTTTTACCATTCCACACGAATGGTGAGGTCACATGTAGCAAATTATTCATGAATCATTCGGTTCATGGTGTGTCGTTTCGGGAACTAGCGACCCGCGGCCGGGCGCCGCGGAGAGGTGCCCGCCATAGGGTTTTGGGGCTATTTTTTCACGTTTCGGTCTGAATCGTGAAAAGTACTCGTCGTAGCAAATATGTTCCCTGGTTTCTGGATTTTCAGCCCACGTGGAATGCGATAGGACAAGAGTCATTTTCGTACAGACAAAACTGTGCCCGCGTTTTTTGGTCAAAGTAAAAATGTTCAGCAGCTTTTAACACGTGAGCCGCCGCAAAACAGGGTACACCGGAGGACTTACGATTCAATATCTCCTAAGCCATCATAGATAGCAAATATGTTCCCTGGATCTATGTAGATAATACTTTAGAGAACACTTCAGGCCAAAAATTGTTTCTCGACAACGTACACCCAGCCCGCGTTTTTGGCTTAAATGCAATGCAACAAGGCAGCCGACCTTTAGGGCTCAGTTAGCGAGTTTATTTTTTAGCGAGCACTTCGAGCATCCCAGCGTTCGATGAAATGACATATTTTTTCAACGCAGTCGTTTCTTCATTTGCATCTAAACGCGACCTATATGATAATGTGACGGTATCGTCACACTAGAAGGTGTAATTCATCATAATTAATAGGGCTAATTCTCGGCGCACAGCAGCAGACGGACACCGACTGACCCACCATCTAAAGGCAGTTTGGCGAAGCAGTATCGTGAATCACAGCCGCGAGATGTCCCTACCGTAGAACACCGTCTGTTTGCCCAGTTTAAATACGTGATGTTTGCCCTTTGTCAACCCCTCAGTCATGGGGCTGGGGTCGCGGATGAATGGGCGACCGCCCGCCGCGCGGGGAGGGGGCTGCTCCCCTGACCCGGACCGCCACGGCATGGGGACGGTCCCGCATCGCGTGCCTCACGTCGCCGCCTCACACCGATCAATTACGCTGGTTTTGAGGAACCGCCCATTGTGGTGGTGGGTGATCCAACGCAGACCATGCCAGAACCCCACTGAGGGGTGTCACCCGTGTCAGCTGGCTCAGACCCATGATATCCCCATACCGAAAGCGACGTTCCAAAGAGCAATATGCCTTTAGTGGGTATTATTGATGTTTAATTCGAGAATGTATGCATGCATGTAAGGCTGTAAGCACATACCTACATGATGTGTTAAAGTACTCCAACTGTACAACTTTGGCCTCTCAGCTCGAGGAATAACCTTTTTTTTACTTTAAAGACAGATTTTTAGTGACTTAACACTCGCACTTACATATAACGGGGTCGAACGGACCCCCTCCCGGTTTTTTCGCGAATAATTCGCGCAAAAAGCGGCCGATCGCGACGAAACTTTCAGTACCCTCGAGTTAATCAATTTTACACATACTCTAAAAATTTAATGACCCTGACCCCAATGACCTTTGACCTGTGATCTGATTCTCGAGACCATGTGCGACCGGAATCGCCAATTGGCGTATGTCGGCTGAGGCAGGAGGCTCACATTATCCGCGCAATTTCCAATATTTTTTTGTGTGGGTTTCAAGGTCCCGTGAAGGTCAGGTCAAGGTCATTGACCTTTGATGACCTTGCTTCACTTTTTCGAGTTTTACATGTTTCTAGGGTAGTTTCTGGAGCTGATTTCGAATTTGAAGATTTATGAAGTAGTTTTGGTGCCCTCGTATGCTACGAAGCTGTCAATAGTGGTCAACACCTGCTATGGATGGCCAGCAGGTCACCTACTGGTTGGCCTGACCTGACCTGACCCGACCTGGCCTAAATACATTAACCCTCGCCCGCACATGGGGGGGGGGGGGGTTGCAATCCCCCTTCCCAGGTAGTCTTTCTGCTCTGCACTCAAC